CCTTCGGATTTTTCTCCAGTCTCACCGTCTGCGTCGCTACCGCTGTGACTGCGGGGGGATGTTGAGTAACGTGATTGTATTAGGAAACATAGGTTAGACTAGGAAATATTCTGGCTTGCCTTGTACTTCAAGTAGATTATGTACTCCTATATAAATGCCCACGAGGCTCAAGCAATACAACGAACGAACTATTCCATCAATCCTCTCTCTCCCTTCTAACATTTATTTCTGTCATATAGAACATGTTTTGAACTTCAAACTTTGCAGCGCAACAAAACCTACTAACTAGAATGTGGGATAAAACTTTCAGAATTTTTCGTCCAACATAAATACTAAAAAATATTTTTTAACCAAATAAAACTTATTTTGTATATTTATATTGGACGAAAAAAATCTTAAATTTTAATCTTAATTCTAGCAAGAAAGCTTTACTGTTCTGCAAAGGTTTGAACTTGAAGACATGTTCTATGTAAAAGAAACAAAAAAAGAAATGTACTTACACGAATCTTGATGTGAAGAATGGATGGCTAGATAAGAGGGGCCTGGGTGGGTGCTCTAAAATATATTTTCGTGTCGTCATCTCCGCGACTCCGCCTCACGCTCCCGTAACAAAACAGCGTCAGCGCCATGGCCCTCGACTCCGGGACCCTATGCCCCCTTCATCCTGGTCGTGACCGCCTCCTATGGCCCTCCGCTTCGTGGAGGGTGGATCCCGAGTGTGGACGGACGGAACTGTGACACTGCACGCCTCGTCGTTCGTGAGGCGACCAGAGGCCAGAGGCACCATGTACCCAACCCATGCTCCATGCGCCACTTCGCCACCCCAGGGTTCTTGGTCGTTTCCATGACGCCGCAGTCGCGACCGCGAGTCGCGTCATGTAGCGCCCGCCTGTATGCAACCATCTCGGGCGTGGAAAAGCACGCCACCCAGCAGCCGTGCTCGCGATCAGTCGCCGCGGCCACGCTGTTGTTGTCGCTCGCCGGAGCCGGCGCCGCAGGCTGCGTCGCCTCAGACGCTCAGTAATCAGTATCTGTGCGTTGCCTTGGCGGTGTTCTCCTGCAGGTTGCTCAGTATCCGTGCCTTCCACCCTGCATCCGCCCAGATCAAGGCAGCACATGCTAGCCCGGTGGTGACCACCACGGCCAGGAGCAGCGTCCAAGAGACCAGCACCGATAGGCAGCACCGATACGCAGCATAGGTCAGTGCCGTTGGTAGCTGGTCGCTGGCTTGCTGCACGGCAGCACCGATACGCAGCATAGGCCAGTGTCGTTGGCGTACTGGCCCCCCTGCAGCGTGTTGATCTACTCGTGCTGCGATATTTCTCCTATGTGTTTGTTGTCGGAGACGTTGAGCAGCATGACGAAGGAGAGGCCGGAGAACAATTTTGGTACAAGATCCACCACAGCGAATTCTTTTTGCTATAATCTGGTTCAGTTACACGCCTAATAAATCGCTATAGCCTAGCCCTGTATATGTCGATCATGAGCAACTTGATAAAGCTATAATTTCATCTTTGGTTAACAATTGCACTCTTAAATTCTACTGTCAATGGAGTAAATCTAGACATGAATTGCAATCAAGATTAGTCATTGGATGTTCTCTCTTTCTTTGACCTTGATTAAGATTGTGTTATCAGGAAAAGGTAATTAGGTATCTCCCTTGCTGCATATTTTTGCAAATTATTCTATTTCAGATGACATAGCAATGTTGTTGAACATGCCTCTAAACAATACCTGCATAGGTGACCACGTTACGGCCAAGAGCAGTGGCCAAGAGGCCGTACTGAAATAGAGCTTCCCATCAACGTTTTTTGAACAAGCTCTCAAACTGAAGGTGCATAGTGTTGCTCCCACCCCTTTCTGTAACTAACTTATCGATGGGGCGCGGCATACCGCCGCGCAACATGGCTATTTCTCCGACAAGTATTTTCAAACGAAGGGGGTAGAAAATAACACCAGATCCAACTAGTGAATATTGGCTCAAATTAATAGGTAACTCAGAGGAAATTTACTCTTTCAACACTACATTCTACAACTCGAATAACCATTAACAACTCGAATGACTATTCATTAAAGAAAAAAGATTAATATTACCTTCAATTAATTGTCGCTCAAACAGATGTATTTAGCACTGAAATACGTCTAGATACACCCGTTTCAACAATAAACAATAATTAATATGAATCAGAGGAAGTAGTTAAAAATTATATATTACACAACTAATCTTACATAATGTCTCAACAAAAATTTGCAAAGGCCCTTTACCACTTCACAGGAACCAATTATGCAGGGAGCTCCACCAGAATATTGTAGACCAGAAGTGAATGTACTGTGTTTAATATTGTTCGAAATGTATCTATGTGCTTCATGTTCCCTGATATGCACCACACATGGTGAATATAAATGTCTAATTTTTGGTTGCTTCTAAGCATGACTTCCTTTATTGTGCCTACAACCTTACCCACATAGTTATTTAACTTCAAAGTGAAATTCATTGTATACAGCAAAGACAAAGATATCATGTATAAAGTATAAACACAGCGTATCGCCGGGGCGCGGCGCTGCGCGGGTATGCTAGTTATACACGGAACTGGAGCTAGCAGCTAGGTTGGAGACAAATCCATGCCGGCCATGGATCAAAAGAGTCAGAGCAAGTCTGCATCAAGATGTACACAAAACTGTCGGTGTTTCATTTACTGCATGTATGAAACTGCAAAGATTCTTTGGTTGTTCTCTAGCCCCAAGTCACCATTAATCGACCTCGACCTTCGCCATCGGTTCCGCCTACTCGGAACATGCGTGTGCCACGTACGTACAACCTCCATGAAGCCCACGCAGCTGACACTGGGATTTCGTGTTTGCTATTAATGCAGTAAGGATCTACGTCCATTCTTGCGGCTGTCCTTATTTTTTCTCCTTATCTATGCTTCACTTACCCTAGTGAACATTCTACTACCTGACAGTTGACACTGACACCAGAAACCTTGTGGAAACTCACATGCCTGCCCCTGATTGGAGCCCTGGACACACTCGCCGAGTCGTGAGAATGAGGAGGTGTTTGTTTTCAGAGACTTTTTTGTGTAGGGACTAAAAAAAGTCTCTCTTAGACTTTTTTACCAAACGGGAGGGATTTTTTAGGAACTAAACTAGGCATTTGGGACTAAATGAAGAAGATTCTCAAGGAGAGTCTTTTTGGGACTTTTTGGGACTTTTCCAACAATGCCCTTTCATGCACCTATTGGCCCGCCACCCCATAATGTTGTTTGATTGTTATTTTTCTATATACTAGGGGCAACATGGTCATTTAATAACCTCTAGAAAAGGACTAGGGACTTTTTAGTCTATGGAAACAAACAGGGGGGAGTTTTTTAGAGACTTCAAATCTATTGTTTGGTTGGGATAGTTAGAGCTAGGGAATAGGAATTGAAGGGGTACGAGACTTCAAATCTATTGTTTGGTTAGGGGGATTGGGAATTGATAAGGGAATAGTCATGGGACTTGAGACTCCAACTCCCATCATTTTATTAACAGGGGAGGGGGTGGAGTTGGAAGGGAATTGTTTTAGTGAGTCAATCTTAGCCATTCATTATAACTTACGTTAATTTCACTTGTCTATTTCCTTGTCAATTCCCACGAACCAAACACGGGAATACAATTTCTCATCAAACTCTCACACATAATTTTTATCATGCGCCAAACAGAGGATTGGGAATAAAACGACTCATCCCATGTCTAATTTCAATATAACTCCCTACATTAAACTCCCATTCCCCTTTCCATTTTTTGTCAAACACGCTGTAGAGACTTTTTAGTTGGGATTAAAAAAAGTCCTAGGACTAAAGAACCAAACACCACCTGAGCCAAGAGACCGAAGATGATCGGTCAAGCGGCTGAGGGCGCCTTTTCTATGGCGCCACGCTTCTCGCTTTGCACCCAAGTGATTTCTTGAGGCTGCCAGATCTTAAAACTTTTGATTGCCACATATCTGATATCTTTCACACACACCAGACAGAGACAAGAGACAGAGAGGGAGAGAGGGAGACTTTGAGACTTTCGCTGCATTTCTAGAGAACTTGCTTGCATTACTATCGTCGGAGGATGAGGAGGATTATCCAGGAAATTTCGCCGCCGGCCACCATTGCCACTGTTCCACCTTTCACGTCGGTCCCCCCTGTACATACGCATCAACATACGTAGATGGCGGACAGTATATATACACGATGTAGGTGTACAGTACAGTCCTACCGTATCCACGGACGGACACAGTAAACTACACCGAATTAGTAAGGAAGAATGCCACCGCGCGCGCACATGGTGTGGCCGGCAGCAAGGCTTGTGCTCGTCCTCGTCACTTTGCTCACGCTTTGGAGCAGCGACGTTGCCGTTGCATCGCCGTTGGCGGCGTCGGTGCGGGTCGGCGTGGTGCTGGACCTGACGAGCGTGGGGAGGGAGAGGCGCGCTTGCATTTCCATGGCGTTGGACGACTTCCATGCCGCTCACGCCGGCTCCGGTGCCACGTGGATCGAGCTGCTCCTACGAGACTCGCGCGGGGATCTTGCCACGGCTGCACATGCTGGTAAAAGAATATACTTTTTTTTCGGTTTATAAGGCTTATCTTAAAATTTTAGTTTTTTTCATTTTATAGGGCTCAATTTGATTGTTTCTCATCACAAGTTTAGATTTCAAGGTGTATTAAATAATTAAATGCAAGTATTAAGAGAAAATTGGCCAATGCATGTGCTTTATGCATGCATGCATTGTAATTAATACATTGGTAAATATAAACTTTTGAGAAAAATAAGAGCATTAATTGAGTGGTTTTACAAATTACAAAAAATATTGCACCACTCACCATCTATCTTGGTTGATGAGATTTTTGAATTGAGCCCTATAAAACGAAAAGGAGGGAGTACGTCGAACCCAAATATCTCTTTCTATTCGTCTTCGCTTCAACATATCTCGCTCCTGCATGTATCTCGTTCCTTGAGCTTAAATTCAAAGTTTTTTCTTTTCCATACAATCCAAATTTGGACTTAAATTTAAAGATGAGTAGATGACATACAAGTTCATTCAGTTCAAGTGAACTCGTAATCCCTTTTACTCAAAAAAAGTTCATTCAGTTCAATACACACACTTAATATCTCCGCAAAAAAACACATTTAATTTTCTGGGATCAATATCAAAGGATTTCATTCATATTAATGTTTTAGGAGTATTTTTTTAGGAAAATGAGGTTTTTGTTTTTTGGCGAGAGATATTTTGGTTCAGTTCTTTTTGTTAAGAAAAGTTCTGTTTTTCCTTTGAGCAAAAGATTTTGGTTCGCTTCGTAAATCGATTGGGTCAGCCGAGTGCAATGTTGGCCCACGTAACGCACCAGCCTTTTAGGCCCCAGGCACCTTTTTTGACAATTGGGCCCAGGCACCTAGTAGTAGTACCACACTGCAGATACCCAAACACCCACTCGCTTCCGTCGTACAGCCGCCGTAACCCCAGCACCGGCGGCGGCCTCAGCAGGCCACCCCCTCAATGTACAGACGCGCCGTACTCCCGCCCGGCGCCGAGATGCTACCACTGGCTATGGGCAACGGCTGCACCACCCACGGTCCCTCTGAGGCTCTGACCTCTGTTGACCCAGCGGACCGCCATGGCCTCCATCCTTGCTGCAGCTAGCGGCAAAGCCTCCTTAGCTCTCGCCCACAAGGTACTCTTTCTCGCGACTCCACTGGCTGGCTAGTGGGTACGGAGTGGCAGGGCAAAAAAATATTTCAAGTTATTTTTGTATGTACGGAAGTTAGGAAAGCCGAAAGAATCTGTTATGCCGATGCACGACATAACTCTAGAATATGGACGTGGCTAGGGAGCGCTGCTGCGTTCGTTTGTTGTCTAGAGCGCAACGATGTACACTAGAAAAAGAAATTGTTTCACAACATCCCGTAGCATACATGTGTGCCGATTGAATCAGCCTAAATCCTGTCCCCACATGCATTTATTTCGGAGTTTGAAAGTTGTAAAAGCCTTAACTTTTGATTCAAGCATCGAAATCCAGTTTCATTTTCACCGTCAGATTTCATTTCTGACGACGAGTTCTTCAAAATTAGATCTCATATGAGTAGGTTTCGTCAAACTTTTTTTGAGGGCAATTTTGGATGCAATGGAGGCAACTATAGTGCTATACGGAAGCAACTTCTTCTTTTTCGCCTAGTTTGACTGACTATTATGTTGGTTTGCGTAAAAACGAAAAAAAACACACAAAACATAAGGCATATTTAGTGCGACTTCACTGCACTATGTGTATCTGTGAGTTTTGTTAACATTATCCCAACTTGCCTATCAGGACTGCTCAATTGCCTACTGTTGATACTTAGTTGCCTATAGTTGATGTTCAATTTACTATAAATGGTATAAATTGCCTATATTTATGTCTAGTTGACTGCTATCGGTAATTAGTTGCCTACAATTGCTTCGCAGTTGCCTAAATTTTCAAAATAGTTGCCTACAATATTATGAAGTTGTTTATCATTGTTTTTCTAAGTTGCCTACAAATACTCTGAAGTGGCCAAGATTCACCATCGTGTTATCTATCATAGCTAGCAATAACAAACACAAGAGCATCATCAGTAGACAACATCATAGTATTATAAGCCATTTAGAAACAAACGACGACATACGAGTATGAACAATAGGCAACTTAGAAGTACTGGTGAGGAAGTTAGGAGAGTGTTACATAAAATTAACTAGGACATAAAATGTAGTGAAGTTGCCTGCTTTTAGGACTGAAGTTGCCTCTTATCGAAGGAAAGTTACTTATGAAGGTGATGTGATATTATCTACCTCCATTTCGAAGTTGTTCTGTATTGTTAGTTGGTTGCTTATTGTTGCTAATTAGTTATTTTTAGGAGTGACGTTGATTCTATTTAGAACTAAAGTTGCCTCATCTAGAGTAAAAGTTGGTTTTGGAAAACAAAATCAAAGGAACATATCCATATGGGGTTTAGTTTTGACCTGGCTAGCCAACTCATGTGTTTCGCATCATTATATCTGAAGATTTTAATGATTTTCACATACTACTCGATCAAAAATTAAGAACTTGCATAGGTTTGCGGGAAATTGTCTAATCCGTCCCCTTGTCATTAACCCCTATGCAACTTCTTATCTAATAGTCGCGACCTGGCTAGCCCACAAATGCACGCTCCGTAGCGTTAGCAACTTATGTCCAAAGTCACCTATATATGAAACTAAGTTGTATGCAACTAAAGATGATGTTAAGCTACTAGCTAGTCATGGTAGCCATCTTAGGATATTGTTAGCCTGCCTTGAAAACTAAGTTGCCTACAATACTATGAACTTAGAGGCGAAGCTAGTTATGATAGACTACTTACTAGTTATGGTAGGAAACTTAAAGAGTGAAGGTAGTTAACTTGGTAGTCACGATAGTCAACTTCAAAGGGATTTTCGTTGATAGGCGATCATATACTACACATACCAAGAAGAAGTCGTTTTTTTATAGCACTAAAGTTGCCTCCGCAACATCTGAAGTTGCTTTAAAAAAAGTTTGTCGAAACATATCAATATGAGATCTAGTTTTGAAGAACTCATCGCGACAAACACAATGGTGAAAACGGAATTGAAATTCGACACTCGAGTCAAAAGTTATAGATTTTAGAAAAATTTGAAGCTCCAAATAAATGCCTGCACGTGGGATCTTGCTGAATAGCGAGGCGGATGGGAACGTGAAGATGTGAGGGGACCAACTGACCAGGTACTTTTTCTATTGGACGTGGCTAGAGGGCGCACGAGCGCCAGTTGTTAGGATCGAGCGCTTTTCTAAATATGGAAGGAGCAATTGACGCGCCTGACGCGGTACACAAAAAAAGAATCTTGTCCCGACGTGCATTTATTTGAGGATCCAAAATGTTTAAAAAATTGTAATTTTTGTTTTAAGCGTCGAAATCCAGTTTCGTTTTCACATTTGGGTTTCTCGCGATGAGTTCTTCAAAACTAGATCTCATATTGATAGGTTTCGTCGAACTTTTTTTTGAGGCAACTTTGGGTCTGATGAAGGCAACTTTAGTGGTATAAGAAGGAACTTCATTTTTTACCTAGCAGGCATGCCTATTAGGTTGGTTTGTGTAAAAACAAGAAAATCACACAAAACATGAGGCACCTTTAGTGCTACATATAAGCAACTTCATTGCACTATGTGTATGAATGGATTTTGCTAACATTATCACAACTTGCCGACCATGGTTGCTCAATTGCCTATCGTGGATGCCGTGTTGCCTACAATGCTATGAAATTGGCCTATCATCGACGTCTAGTTACCTTCTATTGGTAATTAGTTACCTACCATTGCTGCTCAGTTGTCTAACTTTGCAAATTAGTTGCCTACAATATTATGAAGTTGCTTATCGTTGTATTTTTTAAGTTGCCCCAAAACACTATGAAGTTGCCTATTAATGATGCTTAGTTGACTGCCATTACTATTTTAGTTTCCTATAATATATTAAAAAGTTGTTCGTCAATGTTGCCAAGTTGCCTATATATGAAACTAAGTTGCTTACCACACTGAAAAGGTGTTATATGCAATTTCGGATAATGTTAGGCTACTCACTAGTCATGGCAGGCAACCTAGGATAACGTTAGGCTACCTCATAAAGTAAGTTTCCTATAGCACTATCAACTTGGAGATGAAGGTAGCTATGGTAGAATACTTGTTGGTCATGGTAGAAAACTTTGAGATTGTTATGCACTCGAGTGACACACAAAAAAGTTAGCAAGTTTTGGGGTGTGTTTATACAACTACAATGCACTCACCAGACTACTCCTGTGTACTTTGAGTTAGTATCTAAAAAAAGCAACCACATATAGAAAAATATAAATTCACCATTGATGGGCTATTGGAGGCAAAACGAGGACAATAACTTTAAGATTGTTATGCACTCGAGTATCACACAAAAAAAAGTTAGCAACTTTTAAGGTGTTTTCGTGCAACTCCAGTGCATTCAACAAGCAACTAATGTGTGTTTTTCATCATTATATCTGGAGATTTTAATGATTTTTGCTGACAACTCGTGCCAAAATTATGAACAACTTGTGTAGTTTTGCGGGCAACTGTCTAATCCGCACCCTATGAAATTTCTCATCACCCCCTATGCAACTTCTCATCTGTCCTCACTTTTGCAACTAGTCAACACCCGCGACCTAGCTAGCTAACACACGCGCGTTCATTAGCATAGGCTGGTAGACTACCCCAAAAAAGGTAAGTAAAAAGCTGTCATACCATCCATCCCCACATAGTTCGGAATTTGGATCACGATAGAAACCTTAGATCCCACAAAAACTTTTCGACATTGTCACTTATGTCCCTTGATGGACGATTTTCATAGTATTTTATGCAATTGGGGATCATTCGTAGGCAACTTCGTAGCAATATAGACAACTTGGTTTCTGAGGCTGACAACTTAGAAGCCATGTTAGACAACTTTCCACTCTACGGTAAACAAGTTTCACAGTATCATTGGCAAGTAAACTATCTACAAATTAGTTTTCGATGTATGCAACTTAGCAACCATGGTAACAATCTATTAGACTACTACGCACAACTATTAGTAGGCTACTAGATGAATTCACTAATACACACGATGCAATTCATCTAGCATCAAAGTTGCTCCTATTTAGCACTAAAGTTGCCTCATTTAGCATCG